GTTCCAAAGAAATAAACAGCTCACAAGTTTAGAAGACGTCAGCTTTGCCAAAGGCCCAATTGGACTGCGTTGGAACGAGAATGACGCGGTGGCGCCTCCATGACGTGGACAGGCGTCGCTACGTTCCCACCGCGAGTGTCCAGGCTTGCCCACTGGCATGGTCCCAAGGACGAGCACCAATCAACCACCCGAGATGAGGCTTTGGCTTTGTGTCGTACATGCCTTTTCCGCTCGGATTGACCGGCGAATCTGCTAAAGCTGAGCACATGCACTGGCACTTAACGCTGGCGATGACACATTCTCTTTGGTCTGGATCGAGAGAGTAAGCGAAGGGCTGAGCGACGGCTCTGCTTGAGGTATAAAATCAGCTCGTACGTCACAAGAGCTGGAGAGCACTCCTTGCGAAAGCACATTTTGATACGTTCACGAGATTTGCATCGATCGAATGGCCTGCAAGCGTGCAAAAAGGCCCATCGCTTCTTCAAAGGTGTGAAGATTGTCGACACCACTGGCAATCATTGAGTTGCTCGACCGCCGTGACACAAGTCAAGTCGCATCTTTGGTGGCTCCTGCGAGACACGAAAGCGGTCCACGTCCTCTTCTCATTCACAACTGTCTTTGGACGCTGAACGGGTGGAAGGGCGAAGCTCACCTGGCCGCGGGAGAAATCCTTGAAACAAATTCAAGAATTCGAGTTCCAAATCTGTCGATTACGGTGCATCGTTTGGTGTGCAGCATGCAAGCGGTCAGAGCTGCACCATTTGCATGGCAGGCCTTTCGAGGGCGCATCTTGCATCCCCCCAAGATGGGAAGAGGCTGCCTAGGTTGAGATTCATGGCACTTTCCTCAACTGGCAAGGCTTGAGCACGACCTCTGCATGGTTGAGAAGGCCGGCCACTGCGCACATCGGCTAGATGCTTGTATGGTGTGCGAACTTTTGAAATGCAGCCCCGCAAGACGCCTTCCATCTGCCAGCAAGATACCGCGACGGTGGTGTGTGCGCCCACTTTCCAATTGCAGCTGCACAAGCTCCAAGCGCGTCGCGTCAATAATGCTTCAATTCAAATTGTATTCTTCTTGTCGAGACCCTGCGAGCACCCTAGGCCTGGCAGAGATGGCGCTAAGCGCGCGCCGGAAGAGCTAGTGTGACCAAAAGCCATGAAGCAGCTCGCGCCTGCAGACCTGGCTCAGCAGGTCCCTAGCATCGACCGCTATAGCGAGAGAGGGTTGCACTCGTGACTCAAGACTATACCCAGGCTGAGGTATTCGAGCAATCGCAAAGCCAGCCTCGAATGGATGGCGGCGGTAAAGCACACGTCCC